TCTGAAACTAAACGTATGATCCATTTTTAGTAATCTGAAACTAAACGTATGATCCATTTTTAGTAATCTGAAACTAAACTTATGATCTATTTTTAACAACCTGAAGCTAAACTTATGGTCTATTTTAATAACGTGAAACTAAACTTATAATCCATTTTTAATAACGTGAAACTAAACTTATGATCCATTTTTTATAACGTGAAACTAAACTTATGATCCATTTTTAGTAACCTGAAACTAAACTTATGATCCATTTTTAATAACCTGAAACTAAACTTATGATCCATTTTTAATAACCTGAAACTAAACTTATGATCCATTTTCTGAACTACTTCAAGACATAGCGAAGGATTAGGTATTTAAGTAATATTCGAACATCGAAACTAAGTCTCATTTTGTGCACTTGATGCCAACTGTGTTCCTCCACGTTTTCATGAATGATTACAAAAAACATCTGGTAACATATTTAGTACTAAGCATAACGAAACACTTCTTCATATGAAGAAACAGCCTTACTAGATGTAGCCTCACTACATGATAGGCGTAGAATCCATCCAAAACTAGTTAAACCCACAGATTAGAAATTATACACACTATTCTTCAAAAAAAATTAATTATTCATAATACCAAAAAAATTACTTCTGTGCTATTCAAAAAACTAATGTAATGTTATGGTTCAAAAAACTGGTAAATTATTAAGGGTTATTTGGTTTTCATTTCAATGTGGTCGGTTTCTAACATGTTAATGTTGTTTAATGATGAGTTTCTAGTAAATGTATCAGAATAAAACTTAAATATTAGTTTCACAAGGCAAGTTACATAATACCGTAACATCTACATCAACGCATGTATCCTGATTATGTTTGTTTTTAAAGGAAAGTTTGTAAATGGTTTGATGTGCTCAGAAACAACGTTGTTTGCCTTTCCTTGCATAGATGACGGTATCGAAATATCGATCTTGAACCAATCTTACCAAGTCAGTCTTTCTGTTAAAAATAAGCAAAGAGCCAGCTAGTGCCTAACTATTCTTAGAGGAACATTCAAACTGGTAAGCAATAAACCAAATAACTACTGTCTAATAAATCTTAGAGGAACATACAAACTGGTAAGCAATGAACCAAATAACTACTGTCTAAGAAATCTTAGAGGAACATACAAACTGGTAAGCAATGAGCCAGCTACTGCTTAACTATTCTTAGAGGAACATACAAACTGGTAAGCAATAAACCAAATAGTGCCTAACAAATCTTAGAGGAACATACAAACTGGTAAGCAATGAGCCAGCTACTGCTTAACTATTCTTAGAGGAACATACAAACTGGTAAGCAATAAACCAAATAGTGCCTAACAAATCTTAGAGGAACATACAAACTGGTAAGCAATGAGCCAGCTACTGCTTAACTATTCTTAGAGGAACATATAAACTGGTAAGC